TGCCTGAGTCACTTCTTTCCCATGAGCCTCCCTGTCAAAACTTTGCCTTTCTTCTAGCTCTGTTCCAGGTGAAGGAGAGAAGTGCAGGTTCTACAAGCAGAGGCCTGACTTCTGGGTGGATGTGAGTGCTACGCAGGGCAGGCTGTGAGGGTCTAATGTTGTATGTTTTCCTTTAAGAGGGTCTGGATGAAGTGGGTCTGTCTGAGAAAGGCTGGACTGGAGACCCTGTTGAAGACTGAATCCACAAAGCCACCTGGCAGCCAACTGACGTTCTAATCTCCAGTCCTTGATTTTGAGCTAGGAGACTTCATTTTGATCAACAAACATTAATTATTTAAGTACAAACTCCGTGTGGGGATGGAGGAGGTAGAGGTAAAGGGATTATAAAAATAAATACAATGAAGTCTTACTCCTGGTGGTTTTATACTGTAGAAAGAACACTATGGAGTGAAGCTAATAATTATTGAGTATCCACAAGGCTCCAGACACTCAGACCATTATCTCAGAACAATCCAAGGTCCAAAGAGCCATAAGAGTTCAAAGCAAGTGACTTTGGAGCTAGTACTTGGAGAGCAGGTAGGATTTTAACAGACTGAATTGGTGACAACAATTGAGGAAGAGCGGATGCATTCGTGAACAACCTAGTGAGGCCTATGCCAGAGGAATAGACCACCTGTTTTCTAACAGATAACACTGCTATAGTAGCCTCCTGTGGGTTCTTCCCGGGTCCTCTCTCCCTGGTCCATTCTACAAATCCAGCTTCCTAGAACCAGCATCAGACTAAATCAGGAATCTACTATCTACTCTTCTTCTATTGGAAGAGAGGGAGGGAGGGCAGATGCAGGGAGGCAGATCATCCAATAACTCGTTACTCGTTACAGAAGAGAATCCAAACACCTTATCCTCAGTCTTGAGACCCAGACAGTGCCAACTGGTGCATTTTAGCTTCCTCTCCTATTACTTCTCCCCCTACGGCTCTCCTGCTTCCTACATTCCAGGCATCCCTCAGACATGCTTGTTCATGTTGTTTCTTCTGCCTGAAATGGTTTAGCCTGTCAAATTCAGTCCAAGATTCTAAAATTGAGTTTAACTGACACCTTCCGGGAGAAACTCCTAACCACTCATTCCAAATTAAGCTTCGGTCTTTTCTGCCCACCCTAGTGCAAATGTCTCTGTTCTAGCACTTGTCATTGTCCATCTCTCCTCCCTCTCTCTCTCTCTCTCTCTCTCTCTCTCTCTCTCTCTCTCTCTCTCTCTCTCTCGCTCTCTCTCCCCCCAACACCCCCAACTCCCAGGTAATTTCCTCATTTGTAAAATGCGATCATTTAGACCTACCTCACAGAATTAAGAAATAAGGTAATAAGGTACTTTATAAATAATTGTACATGTAGGGCCTCCCAGGTGGCACGGCGGTTGAGCGCTGGGTTGCAAAGCTACCCGCAGCCTCTGCAGCACCAGTTCGATCCCTGGCCTCCGGGCAAGGGTCCCACATGGTGCGCAGACCTCTCCTGCCGCCCGCTGCTCCCCTCACAGTGTATTTCGTCAGTCTGCCTGTTCTGTTCCCCGCTCTGGCTCTGGTGAATTCTCTCACCCTCCCGTGCTTCTGACTGTACCCAGTGCTTGTATAAATAAATAAATAATCTTAAAAAAAATTGTACATGTAGTGTACATTTACATTTTTAAACGTCTGAAAGGCTGAAAATCTATATGCACTAGAATGTAAGCTCCCAAAGTATAAGAATTTTAAAATATTTTCAAGAATTGTCCCACATGGCACGACAGACCTCTCCTGCCGCCCGCTGCTCCCCTCACAGTGTATTTCGATAGTCTGCCTGTTCTGTTCCCCGCTCCGGCTCTGGTGAATTCTCTCACCCTCCCGCACTTCTGACTGTACCCAGTGCTTGTCTAAATAACTAAATAAATAAATCTTTCAAAAAAAAAAGAATTGTAAACATATATAGAGACTTCTCATACACTCTCCATCTAACTTAGCCTGCAGTTAACATCTTAAATAACCATGGTATATTTATCAAAACTAAGAAATTAGCAATGGTATATTAGGATTAGTTAAATTGCAGCCTTTACTCATTTTTTTTAGGTTTTACCACTAATGTCTTTTTTCTGTTCCAGATCCAACCCAGAATCCCATTTGCCTTAGTTGTCATGTTGTAACCAGGAGGCTCATCTGGGTCAGGGAACCAAACTGAAACCAGGCAAAACTATGGGCACCCAAGAACTTCAAACTGCTAAGGGAAAAAAATTTCACTTTGACCATTCCCAGCGTCTGGCCATGTACTTGTATGAAAGCAAAGAAAGCAGATTCAGTGTGCTCAAAGGTCTTAAATTGGTGTGAAGATCAAGGGGCAGAGAGAGTGAAGAAAGAATTCAAATAAGAGACTTCTAATCAAACTCCAAAACCACCCATCCCCTCATGGGTAAATTGCCCAGTATAGGCTGGGCAGGGAGGTTGGGTCTAAAAGCTTGAAAGGAGTCAAAGTCACTTCCTGTCAGGGAACCCCAAGGAAGGGGTTAGGCAGGTCCCAGAGAAAGGGGACAGGAGAGACCTAATATTCACAAAGTGCATATAATCCCCATAAGATCAACACAACAGCTGCCATCATCCTGGCTGCCTGCCAAAGCACTGAAGTCCCAGGAGCAGCCTCTCCAAGTGTCACACTCTCCTTTGCTCCACCTCAATCTATCAATCCACCTTTTTTATTCCTCATTCCCAGCTGCCCACCTGTCCAGAAAGTCTGGTTCATGGCATCCTGGGAGTTGTAGTCTAAGATGTCTGAGATTTTAACACATAAAAGTGGTAATGGGGGGCCTCCCTGGTGGCACAGCGGATTGAGCGCAGAGCTGTGAAGCTGTCCTCAGCCTCTGCAGTGTGGGTTCGATTCCCGGCTGGCCAGGGAGCAACCCACATGGCACGCCAACCTCTCCTGCCTCGCCCACTGTTCCCCTCAGCAGTGTCTTTGGTCCATGTGCCTGTTCTGTTCCCCACTCTCTCTGGTGAATTCTCTCACCCTCCTGCGCCTCTGCCCTGTACGCCAGCTCTTGTATAAATAAAATAAATCTTTATAAAAAAAGTCGGAATGGGAAAAATGGCACTGGTTTCTGCAGGCACATGGATAACATTCCTCTTCCTTTCAATGTGACATATCCTGTAACAATGTCTCCTTATTCCCCTGCAATTTGTGACAGTTTCTCAGTCTTTTCTTGTCTTTTATGACTTTACCTCTGGGTTTGTATCTTACAACTTCAAGAGGTCGTAGAGCTCAGCTCAAGGTTAGTCAACCCTCCAGGTTCAGCTGTTTGTGCAAAAACAACTCTCAGAGAAACGTTTCGATAAGCTTGGTGTTTTTTTTTTTTTTTTTTTTTACTTCTGAGCTTTAGATTGAAAGCAGTTTAACCATCTAGCCTCAGTTACAAGACCAGAGAATGAAAGTTCTAATAGAAGATAGTTAATTTGACTTTACATTTGTTGAATTTGTCTTGTGGGAAAACTCCGTGGGTTTGGAGTTTTCTTGGAGGTTGTTGTAAATGTAGTACAAAGGACAGGGTAAGTCTAGAGATATAGATTTGAAGAGTTAGAAGATATCAGACTGGACGAAATTCGACACTTAGAGGGGAGATAATGAAGGCGATAAAAAATATTAAGACAATATATTGGACATTTTTCAACAACTGGGTAGATGGTAATACCAAATTGGGTGTTGAGGGGGTTGTGCTCAAGGTCAGCAGACTCGGCGAGCATAGCCTCCAAGAACCCAAAGACAGCTGATGCAAACACAAAAGGGAGTTTATTTCAGACTCGAGTCCGTGTTCACGGCACCTACCAACGCAGTGGCAGATACTGAGAGCCCCGAACAAAGGAAGCAGGGGTCTTTTAATAAGGTTAATATATGATGGCAGTTACTCATTGGCTACAAGGATGCGTTCTCCAACTTTGCCCGGCTATCATTCTAAGCTGACTGGCCAGGCCAAGATGAAGCTCCAACCTGCAGCTCCAATTACAGCAAGTTCACCCTCATTGGTGACCAGAGAGTAAGGGTGGAGTGAGGGTCCAAACTATCTCTGGAATGCAGTCTTTTCCCGGCAAAACCTAAAATTCTAAAATGGCAGTTACACAAAGCAATGGCTAAGAATACTTATGCTTGGTTCCACAGAGGGGAGGGGTAATAGTTAGGAGATGCCAGATGAGTGGAAAGAATTACAGAGAGGGGCAAAGCAAATGGAGCCATGATTGAGAAGCTGCAAACCATAGATAAACTGAGAAAAGATCGTCTTTTGGTTCTGCCACTAATCCTTAATTTAATCCCTATTATCTCGCATAAAGCACTTTATTGCCCAAGCTATTAACTTTCCTTCTAACTGTAACTGGTATCAAGACCCACTGGGTTCAGAAGCCTGCCTCCTCATCAGACCAAAAGTTCCTAGAGGGCAGTGGCTTACTTATCTTATTTTTATCAACATTCTCGGGGGTCTCTTAAAGTCACACCATTCAAAAAATACTTTTGATGATGTGTAAGGTGTGAGCAATGACAAGCACCAAAGCGCACTGAGACCTTTTCTTCACCAGTCACCATGCCGTAGGCCCTGAAGCGTGTATTCTTTACAGTCCTGTGGTGGGTACCGTAATCACCCCCATTTTACAGAGGAGGAAGAGGAGTAAGTGAGGTACAGTTAATGGGTACAAAGGCCCCAACTGGTGGGGACTGGACAGGATTTGTGTTTTTTCACTCAAAAGTCACAGAGCGACAGCGCACGCTCCAAGACCCGAAGGAAAAGGAGCCAGAGCCTCAACTCAAAGCATAAAAGCACCAGAAAAAAACACAAAAGGGAACAGCCCTTGTTGGGAGGAGGCCTCCCGGGTGCAGGCCTGAGCCGCGGTGCGCCTGCGCGTCGCCCTACTTCCTCCAGGCCTCGCGGGCTTCAGGCCTCCTCGCCGGACTGGGAGGCGCGCGTGATGATGACGAAAGCGGAAGCTCTGTGGTCAGAGGCGGGACGAGATCCCGGAGGGGCTTGGGATTGCGGAAGTTTTGTGCGGAGGGTCTGGAGGCCCCGGAACGTCGTGTTGCTCCGGAGCAGATTCCTGAAGCGGGGTCGCCGCGCGGGGTCCCAGAGCCCCACCCAGCGCACCTTGGGGCCACCCCGCCTGCGACTAGACGTCGTTCCGCCTCTCCCCTCGCTCCTCCCCGAGGGAGCCGCCTCGGTCTCCGCCATGGCATCCACCACATCCAACCTGCAGGTAGGGCCTCCCCGCCCGAGAGCCGAGCCCCCCCCGGGAGGGTGGGGGTTCGGGGAGGGGGGCGGGGGCGGCGACCGCGCCCGGAGGGAGGCGCTGGCCGGGAGGGCGCGTCCGCGTCGGGCGCAGCTGGGAGGGTCCGGGCCCCGGGCCCACTTCCGGGGTCCCCCGAGCCCGCTTCCGGGGTCCCCCGAGCCCGTCTCCTTTGTGGGGCGCCTGACTGGGGTTGAGGCTCCCCGCCCCCGCCGAGTGGAGGCCGAGCCGGGCGGGAGACTCCGAACGGGAAGCCCTGACGCCCCGGTCCGCGTAGGGGACGTGATGTTGGCCGGGCCCTGCCCTGGGTGGGTTTTAAATGGGGTGTGCCTGGAGCTCTGGTCGGTTTTAAGTGGGGTGTGCCCGGAGCTCGCAGTTCCCCACATTTATAACAGCGCGGCTGTTCGAGCTCCCAGGGAGTGTGGCTGTGAGGACGGTCTTGGAATCTGCAAAATTCATTGAGCACATGACTTTATGGGCCCACTCCCCTGCACCCCAAAATGTAGTGTGTAAGATCAGCGAGTATTAAAGTTCTTTGCGGCCCTACCTGCCCTCCCGACAGCAGTGAACTATAGGTTTTGTGTATATCATGGAATCCTAAGATTTTAGACTTAAATCTGTGGATTGGAATTTATAGAGAAGAGACATTTCCGAAACATTGTCTCCCATCCCCGAGATGGATCTGGGGCTTTAGTAAAGAGACTGACTTACCCTCAGGGTCGCTCATTCCATTCGGTCAGTTTGGGACAGAATAGTACGTGAAATACCTGTACTGAACCCTTGTCTTACTTGTCTTACTTGATTGTTGAATAGGCATTTGTTGAGTGCCTGCACAGGCACCAAGAATCATAGAGGATCTTGTTCACCCAAGATCATTCATGTCGATGAAAGGCCACAGGGTAGACCCACTTGAATAAAGATGAAAATTTCCCCCAAAGTAAGAGTGAAGGGGAAGGGTTTACTTGGTTCTGCAATCTTGCATATTGACCCAAAAGATTATGGAAATAAATGTTTTACATCTTTCCTGAAATAACATAGTTGCTACTTTGACTTATTTTTAGAATAAAGATTTAAGTCAAGGGTTGATTTGTGTATTTGTTTTTACAACAAGAGATTACAAGATTACATTAAACTAACATCAACATTTTCACTTCACTTTTTTTGTAAAAGGTGCTGTTGGTAAAAGTAATAGGAAAAAGGGTTGGTCATTTAATAAAAGTTGGTTCCCTCAAGTGTCAAAAGTGATTTCTTTTTGAGTGCTCATTTTATCCTTATTTTATCTAACTAGTTTTATTGCATTCTACAGTATAACTTTCATACATCTACTGGTATCTTTTTTCCATTGACAAGATTTGCAGCTTCATTCTATAATCAGTTTTTATTTATTTATTTATTTATGCATACAAGCGCTAGGGTACAGGCCAGAGATGGGGTGGGGGTGGCGAGAGGATTCACCAGAGACAGAGTGTGGGGAGCAGAACAGGCGGACTGATGAAATACACTGCTGAGGGGAGCAGCGGGCAAAGTCAGGAGAGGTCTGCTGTTCCATGTGGGTTTCTGGGGGGGGGGGCAGGGATCGAACTCGTGCTGCAGAGGCTGCGGATTGCTTCATAGCGTGGTGCTTAACCCCTTGCGCCACCAGGGAGGCCTATAATCAGTTTTCATTGTATTTCATTTGGGTTGTTGTATGTTCTTCAGCTAATCAGCTAGGAGCAACCGTTAAGGCGTAGTTGCTAGTGTTAAGCTGTGGGTTATTTTATTAGTGCTTTGTTCACAGTTGTGCTTTCTCATTTAAACTTTTAACCTAACCTAGGAAAATTGGATGACAATGCTCAAATAACAAATAACTTCCACACCAAGTGAGGCAAAAATCCTCCTAGCAAAATGCATGTAATCTAATGGAGGAATACACATAGCTAAAAATCAGAGTCACAAGTAATGGATAAATGCTAGAGTAGAGTTTCATGGGGGGGAAACAGAAAGGAACGGTGTATTTAGTTCTTTAAGGACAAATGAGAAATGTTCCACAGAAGAGGCCATGTGAGCTTAGCCAGAGTGAAAGATGCTTGCACTGATTGTCTGCCTGGTGTTTGATAGGATATTATTTAATCTGCAAAACAACTCTTCAAGTGAAGAAACTGAAGGTTAGTAAGGTTATGACTTGTCCCAAAATATAGCACTGTTAATCAGCACTGAAGATAATTTTGAATCCAGCTCTGTCTGCTTACAAGTTTGTACTGTTTTTTTACTAGCATTATGCCTCCTTGCACAAAGTGGGATGCATTCCAGGAAGAGGAAAACATGTGCTGCAGTCTAGAAGTGGAATAAATCTTGGCAAGGGTTGGGAGAAATTGCAAGGGATGCAGTGTGCATTAAAGTCAAAGCTTATTCAGTCCTAAATGTTTTTAAGTGCCTACCGAGCCATGGTTTTCTAAGTCTTCAAAAGTCCATTTCTGATGTGAAATGGACTTATGTAGTGACCAGCAGGATGGGTGTGATCGTTGGAGGTTTGCATAAGCAGCAGTGGCCATCTGGAGGAAGCAGAGGCTCATCCATCTTGGGGTGTTGGGAAGGCTTTGTAGCACAAGGGCTGTGACTGCTGGTCTTGGAGAAACTGAAGTTTGACAGGGAGTCAGTGGGATAGGGCTGCCCAGGTGGCAAGGACACTGTATGCAAACACGTGCGGGCTGAGTCACCTAGGTAGTCCGGTAGTTTGGGATGACTGGCACAGGGTGTGGGAGGACAAGCCTGGTTAGGTCATATCCCATCCAGAGATGACTGACCCCATCCTGCCATCGATGAGAAGTCATTGAAGGTGATATGCTCAGGTTTTTGTTTTAGAACAGAGCTGTCCTGTGTGTCCAAAGGAAGCAGGGAGACCAGCTAGGCCAGGCTGTGTGATGGGAGATGTGCGGGACAGAGTAGGACAGTGCCTCTTAGAGTGAAGAGGAAAGGATTATCGGAGACACAGTGGAAGAATAATCAGATTTGGATCTTCATTTAAGAAAGTGAGGGAGGAGGAGTCTGGGCTTTCTCCCAGATTCCTGGGGTGCATAGCTGAATGGGTAGGAATCACTTCTGGGATTACTAGAAAATGGGGCGTGTTTGGAGCCAGGGTAGATATGAATTTTTTTAGTTTGAATGGCCTGTGGGGACAATTCAACAGAAATGGTTGGATGCGAACTGTTGGAGGACGCAAGAGAGCGCTAGGCCAGAAACAAGGATTTAGGAGCTGTTAGCATATAGATGACAGCAGAGGTGGTGGGCATCTTGGAGAGTTTTAGAATGTGGAAAAGTAAAAATCAAGGTGGAAACCCTATGGAATATATGCACCTAACGAGAGAGGAAGGGGCACCTGGCAAGTTACAGTTACACAGTCAAAGGAATGAAGCCAGAGGAGGAGGCTGTGTCAAGGTGTTTGTTAATTAGGGTAAGCGCTGCCAAGAGGGAGGTAGTGAGTGTAAGATTTGGCAGTGGAAACAGAAAGCTCAAGACATCGAGATGAAGTTGGGGTTCTCTTTGAGACTTTGCTGTTGAAATGAAGAGGTAAGCAAGAGGTAGTTAGAAGGGAACCCAGGGACTGGGGAGCGCTGGTGTATTTTAGTTTGGGTTTTGCAGAAATGAGTCTGTGTAGGACTTGCAGACATTTTTTAAAAAAGATTTGTTTTCTTTATTCATACAAGAGCTGGGGTGCAGGCCAGAGGTGGGGCAGGGGGGAGGTGAGAGGATTCCTAGAGACAGAGTGGGGAGCAGAACAGGCAGACTGACTGAAATACACTGCTGAGGGGAGCAGCAGGAGAGACAGGAGAGGTCTGCTGGGCCATGTGGGTTAGTCTCCCTGGCAGGGATTGAACTCATGCTGCAGTGGCTTTCGATTACTCCATAGTGCTGAGACTTAACCCCTTGCACCAGCAGGAAGGCCCGACTTAACATACATTTTTATGCTGAGGAAGGAGCCAGCATAGAAGAGAAAGGTTAGGTTTTATGGAAACTGTAGAAAAGCATTTAATTGATGGAGTAGGTGTCCATGGGCACCAGAATATAGAGGAGAGAGTTTGCCTTGGCTAGCAGGAGCCAGGGACGTCTTTTCCTGAGACAGATGATTCTGGAACTTACCCATTTCCCAAGGATTTTCTAGTATGTCAGACTCTCCTGATCTGGAAGGCACAGCCCCAGATATTCCCTGCTTTCACACTTCCGTGTTGACAACAAGCGCCTGACTGCCGGACCCTGGGGTAATAGTGAGTTCCTCTAGCCTGCGCCAGCTACTGTGCCAGACACGGGAATATAAAACGTGGAACAGCACACCTAACTCCTGGCCGCATGGAGTGGGTATTCTAGGGGGAGAGGACAGGCACACCCCAAACCAAACCAACCCAGAGGCACAGAAACAAATTACTGGAAGGATTTTGAACTAGCCCTTTGCTGGGTATGTGGCTTCCAGATAGTTCTCCCAGTCTGTAGCTCATCATTTCATCCTTTTAATAGAATTTTCTTTAACAAAACACTTTTAAAGTACAATTTTTCAATTTCCCATTTTTCCCTTTTATATAGTGTGTTAAAGTCAAGTCTAAGACTAAGAACTTTGACTAGCCCTAGCTGCTAAAGGTTTTCTATGTGTCTTCTGAAGATTTTAGTTTTACATTTTATATTCAAGGTCATGATCTGTCGATAGTTTAAGTTGATTTTGGTACCAACTATGAAGTTTCCGTCAAGTTTCTTTCTCCTCCACCCTCCCTCTCTCTGTTCACTTGCTCCAGAACCTTTTCTTAGAAAGCCCAGCCTTTCCCCATTGACTTGCTCTTGCATCTTTGTCAAAAATCAGCCGGACAGGGCCTCCCCGGTGGCGCAGTGGTTGAGCGCTGGGTTGCGAAGCTGCCCGCAGCCCCTGCGGCGCCGGTTCAATCCCCAGCTGCTCCCCGGCCACCAGAGGAGGGTCCCACGTGGCGCGCAGACCTCTCCTGCCGCCCGCTGCTCCCCTCAGCAGTGTACTTCGGTCCTTCTGCCTGCTCTGCTCCCGGCTCTGGCTCTCGTGAATTCTCTTGCCCTCCCGCGCTTCTGACTGTACCTAGTGCTTATATAAATAAATAAATCTTTAAAAAAAAAAAAAAAGGTTCCCTTAAAAAAAAAAATCAGCCGGACATATGTCTATGGATCTGTTTATGGGAGGTTTTTTGTTTTTGGGGGGTTTTGTTAATAGTGCCAAGGTAATTCATTATGGCCATTTTTAGAAGATGTGAAAGTAGAAAATAAAAAAATAAGTCTTACTAAACTGTTACATTTCCTCTCCACCGTCCTGTTCTTGGGGAGCAGGAGTTGTTACAAATAGTTGGGCTCAAGCTAAGAATCTGCTTTTAAAAAGCTGACATTAGAAATACTTTCCATGTTGTTTAGCTGTTTCTTAATACTGTTTTAATGACCCTATAATCTGCTTAGTGGCATCTTGTTGCTGTCTAAAATGTAAGTTCCTAAAGCTTTTTTTGTTGTTTCAAAGACTTCTCTGGTTACTGTCTGTGCTCTCTAACCCTTTAGCTAATTATTAGTTTAAAAGATTTGGCTATTTCTGAGATTTTTGATATTTGAATGCCCCATTGCTTCTGAAGCAGTCTTAACCCTTTTGCATTTTATTTGAGGATTTCCCTTATGCTTTTAACATGAATTTTCAGATTATTGGATTGTCCCTTACTAGCCCTACATTTGACTTTCCTTGAGTGAAATTATGTGAGAATCTAAGTGATTGGTACCGCATAAAATGGTGTTCAGATAGCATTTATCCATGTACAAGTGTAATAAACAGTTTATAAATAGCTACAATTATAATAAAATGCAGTTGTGGTCTAGGAGGAAAGGTCGGGTTTGTTTTAAGGTTGTTTTTTAAAAATATTTCTTCAACATGATTATTTACTTCAAACTTATGCTTTGATCTTGATGGTGTGGTTTTTGTGACTCTTTAAACAGAAAGCAATAGATATTGCAAGCAAAGCAGCCCAGGAAGACAAAGCTGGGAACTATGAGGAAGCTCTTCAACTCTACCAGCACGCTGTACAATATTTCCTCCACGTAGTTAAATGTAAGGCCATAGTTTGTTTTTTATTTAAAAACATGAAAAGGAAAAATTCTGTTATTTATAAAAATTAAAATACAATGCCAGAAATTTCTAAACCATCAATTTGCAAAAAAAAAAAAAATAAAATTCTACTACTCAGCCAATGAGTGTGCACAAACATCAGTTATTACTTTTTTTTTAAAAGATTTAATTATTTATGCATACAAGAACTGGGGTGCAGGCCAGAAATGTGGGGGTTGAGAGGATCCACCAGAGACAAAGTGGGGAACAGAACAGACAGACTGAATGAAATACACTGCTGAGGAGAGCAGTGGGTGAGTCAGGAGAGGTCTGCTGTGCCATGTGGGTTGCTCCCTGGCTGGGGATCAAACTCATGCTACAGAGGCAATGGATAGCTTCATAGGTTGTATCTTAACCCCTTGGGCCACCAGGGAGGCCCGAGTTATTACTTTGTATACCTAAACATTAAAATGTCATGTAGAGAATGGAAATAATGTTTTTCTCAGTACTATACCCAAATTACGTAATCTGATTTTTCAATCATCTGTTTGAAAATACTTTTTAAATAATTGGTTAGGAGACATCTTATTCACACTGGCTGAAAGGAGTAGAACAGAATTGATCATAATTGGTTACAATGAGCTGAAGATGATCTGCTATTCCCCAAAATGGATTTTCCTTGTTTAAAAAACATACCTAAGAGTTTAAACCTTTCTGTATAGATGACTAATGAGAAAATCTCATTTCCCTTCAATAGATGAAGCACAGGGTGATAAAGCCAAGCAAAGTATCAGAGCAAAGTGTACAGAGTATCTTGATAGAGCAGAAAAACTGAAAGAGTACCTGAAAAAGAAAGAGAAAAAACCGCAGAAGCCAGTAAAAGAGGGACAGCCGAGCCCAGCCGAGGACAAGGGGTATGTATTTTCTGGTAGTGTCAGACTTTATTATATCTTTTAAATTGTGAAATACATTTATTTTGTTGAAACCTTGTGTTGGCAAATCATGGGTCAGATCTGTCCTGTTGCCTGTTTATGTTAATGAGCTTTTGTTGGAACTTAACCCCACCCAATCAGTCAGTCTGTCCCGGGCTGCTTCTCTGATGCTCCGGCAAAGTTGAGTATTGTCAGAGAGACAATGTGGCCCACAAAACCAAAAATATTTACAGTTTCAGCCTTTACAGTAAAAGTTTGCCATCCTCTAGTGTACCAAGCTTAGGTTATAATTTACCTCAAATAACTCCCTGACTACTTGGTGGTAGTTGGGGAAAATGTAGGGATGATACTCAACTTACGTCGAGTCATGACGTAATATTGAAGTTGAAAATTATAGGAGTTGTCTGAGAATTAAATCTTTGCTTTTATCTCTTTCTTTTTTAAAAAATTTTCTTTAAAGATTTATTTATTTATGCATACAAGAGCTGGGGTGCAGGCCAAAGGTGCAGGGGGTGAGAGGATTCACCAGAGACAGAGTGGGGAGCAGAACAGGCAGACTGAGTGAAACACACTGCTGAGGGAAGCAGCGGGCGAGACAGGAGAGGTCTGCTGCACCATGTGGGCAGCTCCCTGGCCAGCAGGGGATCGAACTTTTGCTGCAGAGGCTGTGGACAGCTTCACAGTGCTGTGCTCAGCCCCTTGCACCATAGGAAGGCCCACTTTTATGTCTTTATTGAGGTAACATTGGTTTACAACAGCATTATGATTTAGGGTTATAGGTTCACACCTCCTCACACCGTCCCCCACCATCAAAGTCTGTTAGCCAAGGCCATTGGACAGTCTCCCCCTTTTGTTCCCACTCCCACCCTCTCCTCGCCTCTAGTTGACTCAATTCTGCAGTCATATTTCTAGGGTTTGTTCCGGTTTCATTTTTTGTCAGTTCATTTGAAAAAACCATTTAACTGGGGGATATATCACTTATAGATTGTTTGGTCACGATCCCCCTGCTGCCATCTCTCCGCCACGCACTTCTGATGCCAGGGCGTGGGCAGTAGGACCTTGGTTCTCTCATGCAGAGCCAGCGTTTTTGCCTGCAGCCCCTACCTCAGAGGCCTGTACTACTTGCCTGGAGGAGCACACCTGCCAGGCCACGTAGGCAGGCATGTTGATGAACAGCCTGTACTGGACTCGAGAGCATAGTTGGAGTGAGTCTCAGGTCTGTTGGCATGCTCCACTTCCCCCACCACCCCACTGTCCCAAAAACTAAAGCCATCCACCTGAGGGTATGACCTGTCAAGCATTTTAACCTTTTTACATGCTATATTTTTAAAATGATGGGATGCCATATTTTTGCTCTCTTTTCCATTCAACATTGTATTGTGAACATCTTTCCAATAAACTATTTCTGCAATATTATTTTTAAAAATTGCAATATATTCTATCATATGCAGATCCCTATAATTGAAAATACATTTCTGATTTTTTCCTTCTTAAGCACAGTGTATGCATGATTATCCTTATAATCAAATCCTTGAACTCGTTTTAAATTGTTTCCTCAGGATGAATTCCTAGATGTGAAGCATCTGGGTTTACCTGCATGTCCTTTGGCCTCAATTCGTTTTCATCAGATGCTCCATCCATACTTTGGAACTTCCAGATTAAGATTATAGAATTCTATACCTTATATAATTAATATTCTGCATGTTTTCCTCCTATTTACCGCTTCTTGTTCTAATGTATAGTTTGCCTGACCCTGATGCTTTTAATTTTTTTTTTTTTTTAACAACTCTCCTGTAATTCATTTTAAATCTGTTGTGGATGAGGTCTGGGGCATGTATTTATAAATTAATACATGCACATCGCACTGGAATGGGGAGCTGGTTCCTGCCTTGACTGTTCTTTTTTTGCCCCTTTCCTGTTCGTGATTCCATTTTAATGGATAACATGCCTGCTTACTCTTTCATTTCACACTTTCTTGAAAGTAATAAAATGAGCACAACTTTTAATATCAGTATCTTATTTTGCTGCTTAAATTACAAATATTTCAGGTTAATCTTTTCTTCATTTTTACCTTATTTTGATGGCACTGAGTGATCTGTGACTATATTAAATTCTTTTTATTAGGAATGACAGTGATGGGGAAGCAGAATCTGACGATCCTGAAAAAAAGAAACTGCAGAATCAGCTTCAAGGTTGCTTTTCATTTCCTTTTTAAATTTACTATCTTTATTTTTTAACAACTCATAGTGAATTATCTATTTAAATTGTTTTTTCCTCCATGCTGACCTTGGTTCCCATGTCACATTCTGGCTCTGTTCAGAGCACCTGTCCTGGGATTTGCTCTCTTGGGCCTCTAGTGGGGCATTTTTCATACAGTAAAAACAGTATTTAACTTTATATCTCCCTTTAAAGACCTGTCAGTCAACTTAGGTACTTCATCTTTGTCTTATTTGCTCCCTTTTAGAAAAGGTAGCATTTATATTAATAGCACCCTGCAAAATCTGACGGTATTAAAATTTTCTATCAGAGGAGGAGAATGAATTGGGGTTTCCCACCTGGCTTCAATTGTCATTGCTGTCGCTGATTCATTGATATTTTTATTTCATGTTTCCTACTTGCTTATTTGTCTTGTTTAATTGTGTGCAATGACCTTTATCGCTCAGCTCTCCGTTACCTTCCACACCTTTCCTTCTCTGCTGCTGTCCCTGTGCAGCTTGGTGGTGAGGGCACAGCTGCCTAAAAATTGTCTAATCCTGGGCAAGTTCCCTAACCTCTCAGAGTCTGAGACCCTAGCTTTTAGATGCAAAGTCATAATGCTTTTGTTTGGGGGATATTAAAAGATCAGTGACAGAGTAAAAGCTGCCTAATACTATATCTTGACAGAGTCTAGAGGCTCCGTAAATGCTGTGTGTGTCTAAAAGGCATCTTTTTCCTTACTGACTTCAGTTACTGAGATTTGCTTATTCTTTGACATGTTAACTAGTGATTGTTCAACTGAATTTTATGCTCATTCCAATGGTATATGTATTTTCTTTATTTGAATCTTAACCAAATAGAATGAGTAACTGGGAAGAATTTCCTCTATATAGACTCAGCTTTGGTTAGTGAGTGGTGACAAATCCTAGCTTGGCCAGACCTTGTTGCACTGGACTTCATTTTGTACTGGACTTCACTTCTGCCTTAACTGCTGTGATACATAGAGAATGCTATAAAGATGGTATCTTGATTAATATTCTGGTTAATGAGGATATTTTTATTTGCTGAGAACTTCAAAGATGGATGAGGTCCAAGGACAAAAACTGAGTGTCCCCTGCTGCCCCCCACTTTCCAGAGCAGTGGACTCACTAGTACACTAGTACCAGTTTTGCTGAGCCACGCAGTGGACCTTGCCAAGAGGCCTTACTTTAGTTGTAAGACAAACAGCTTTTTTCTGTGTGGTCTTTGGTTTGAGTTTTGTTCCCCTTCTTATGTCCCCACCCTCTCCCCAAAGTAGAAATTGGCTTCTATCTTTAATTTTGAAAAAGATATAACTGATTTTAATAGGGAAGTTTTTTTCTTTGACTTCCTTGTCTTTATAAGGACCAGAGATGCATAAGAATACAAATGCTTAAAATAAATGTAAGTGAGAAAGGTTATTGGAATTGCAGGATGAAACAATGTGAAAGGCTTCCTAATCTTTGCTACATGAGAGTGCATCCGCCCATCTGTTGTTTGATGGCTTGCTAATTGATTTTATTGTGTCATATCTTTTTTTGAATCTTTATTCTTTTTTCGTGAAATAATATTTTAAACCTTTTATTTCTGTTAGAGCCTTATTAAATGTAATATTTAATTACTAGGATTGCCAAAACTTTATTATTTTTCTTTTGGCTACTTTTTTTTTTTTTTTTTAAAGTTTTATTTATTTTTATACAAGAATTGGGGTAAGACCAGAGATGTGGGGGGTGAGAGGATTCACCAGAGACAGAGCAGGGAACAGAACAGGCAGATATACTGAAACACACTGCTGAAGGGGAGCAGCGGGCAAGACAAGAGAGGTCTGTCCCACCATGTGGGTTTCTCCCTGGCAGACCGGGAATCAAACTCATGCTCCAGTGGCTGCGGATTGCTTCATAGGTTGCGTCTTAACCCCTGCGCCACCAGGGAGGCCCTCTTTTGGCTACTTTTGACATTTAGTGAGTTTTTGAAGTGATTTGAATTAAAGTGATTTGAATTTTTTCTTAATTTATACTCAGTTTGAACTTTTAGAATGCTAAGTGGTTAGGGTTTCATTTAATTCTAATCTATAGCTAAAGTTAAAAAATTTGCAAGTCTCAGGAAAGTATTACAAATGCACTGGCGCACATTTTCCCTCTCTTCTCCATCATTCCCTTCCCTTCCGCTGCTTCTTCTCCCTTCCCTCTCCCTTCTCACTTCTGTCTTTCCATTTGTGTCTATTTCTGTCAACCTTCAGTAAGATTGTTTTCTTTCTGTGGTTAAGGGGAGCATTAGATCACCATAACTTTTGTTTATAAGAAGAAATGGTTAAGTCAGTCCTCATTGAATAAGTACTGTTGATGCTCCAGAATCAGTATTCAAACATTATCACTACTTTAAATAATGTTTGGTGCTTTTCCAAGCTCTCTAATGCTTGTTATGTCAATTGATCCTGTCACTAAACTGATTAGTGTGAATTGGTGGTAATAATCGCATTTCACAATGGAAAGTGGAAATAGAAAACAGTGTGGCTTACCCCATATTTTCTGACCGTCCACCTCAGGTTTGACTCCTGACTCCTCCCTGACAACTAGTCCCTCATTCCAAGAACGTTTTTAAATACTTTTCCAGACAATTCTGTGTTGTAGTTCCTTAGCATCAGCGTTTCATATTTTCTTCTCAATTTGATGGAATAATTTAAAGGTGACATAATTTTTTTGTAGGTGCCATTGTTATAGAGCGACCAAATGTGAAATGGAGCGATGTTGCTGGTCTTGAAGGAGCCAAGGAAGCTCTCAAAGAAGCTGTGATATTGCCTATTAAATTTCCTCACCTTTTTACAGGTGAAATGACTTTTAAATCTTTTGAACTATTTTTTTTTTTTTAAATTTAAAATTTTTTAAAAATGCATTGATGGTTGAGGTAAAGTATTGTGAATTCTTGTTACCATATCAAGTTACTTCCTTAAATAAATCCTAAGGTGGTGGTATACCTTACACAAAGATATTTACTCTATATACATGTACATGTTATAATAGAAATATATTGCAGAACAGCCTAATATCAACTAGATGAGCATAGGGTAAGTCACCAACATGCAGAGTATTTACTGTGTGCTCAGGGAAATAATTGTACATCTACATTGAGAAATTTGCATCCATGTTGTAATTTACATTAAAAAAACCTGTTTGGGGCCTCCCTGGTGGTGCAAGGGGTTAAGCACAGCATTATGAGGCTGTCCGAAGCCCTAGCAGCATGAGTTTGATCCCAGCCAGCCAGGGAGCAACCCACATGGTGCAGCAGACCTTTCCTGTCTCGCCCACTGCTCCTCTCAGCAGTGCATTTCAGTCAGTCTGCCTGTTCTGCTCCCCACTCTGTCCCTGGTGAATCCTCTCACACCCCCCACACCTCTGGCCTGAACCCCAGTTCTTGTATGCATAGATAAATAAATCTTTAAAAAAATACCTATTTGTAAAGATTAAAAAATACATATATATACATATAAAATATAAAATATGTTTAGTATGATCCCACACTTGTTAAATAAATCTGTATGCTAAGAAGTAAAGCATAGGACCTTCCTGTTGGAAGAATTATATCTCTTAGTATACTAAGAGGATTTACTAACATTAAAATGTTAATATTTGCCAAGGAGATAAGATTTGGAGTGATTTTTACTTTTTCTTTTGACTTTCATCACAGTTTTTTCCAGTGGACTTATACTAATCTTTTAAAAAAAAAAAAAAGGAGTGAGAATTATTCAGCAGTTTCAGGGGACAGTGCATCATCATTGCGAGCTACTGTGAACCCACCATCTGGCTGTAGTTGAAGCTATGGCTTCAGCAACAGTAGGTGATTTGTCTGTGCCAAATCCTTTACACGGTATATTTTGGTGATACTGCTTTACCCACAATCTAATAGTGAAACAGGTCTTTCCTTTTAACCTCAAACTTAGCAGGCCCAACTGTGATGTCATATAGAGAAGTAGAGAAAAGCAAAGAACCTGTGGGCCCTGCACTGGCTGTCTAGCTTCGAGATAAGACAGTCTGACTAAATTCAGAAATTTGAAACTAACAGTATAAAAGTTGTTATCGCAACCCTATAAATGTACAGAAACAATTGAGTTCCTTTTATGTTATGTAATTTATATTACTGTTGCCCAAATGTGAGTCATTTCAGTCTCATCTTTATGAGTTTGTCTATATATCTGTATCTGTATTTATGTACACCGTCATTTCAAAAATCTTTTTCTTTAAATCATTCACCTGTAGAGCAAAGATTTTATTAAAGTGTAACTTAAATATACAGAGACGCACAGGAGCCCATAAGTGTTCAAGTTCATAAATTATCACAAAGTACACCTGTGTAATCACCCAGATCACCCAGTAACCTAGAAGTTCCTCTCCGCCTCTCAGAGGCAAGCACTTTCTTAACTCCTAACATCATGGATTGCTTTGTTTCTTTATTAACTTGTAAATTATCTCATTTAGTATTTTCACTTACTAACTTCTTTTTAAAAGACTGATTAGAGTCTCCAAATGGAAAAATTTGTGTTCTTGTAATACATTTAACTAAAAGTTACCTGTTTATCACCTAAAAGGCACTTCATTGTGGTACTAGTGGAGTATGTACCACACTTACGGAAGCATGACTTATAATTACAGACGTGTAAAATACGAAAACAATTTAAATAAAAGTTTAGGCTTTCATAGCAGTAAATGTACAATATTTGGCTTTGCCATTGCTCATCTACTTATTGTTCTGCAGTCATTGTCTACCCATCCACAGTTTGCACTTAGCAGTTTTCTTACATTATATTTGATACCTTATTGCCAGGTTAACCCAGTCAGTTTTAGCTAAGGCAGCATTATAATTTCTCACTAGCAAAATTGAGGTACAAAGAGTTGATTTGTTCTCTTGTGGATATAGTTTCTCTGACAAGATTCTGATAGCAAACAATACACACAGTGTATGATCAAGAAGTGCCTTTTAACGGAACTCTGTTCTCCGGCTGACCTGTCCGCCCACAGAGAGCAAAATTCCTTTTGTATGTGCAGGTCTCTTTCTGTACTCATGGTTTTGATACATACTGAAGGAATGAAGACTTGAGCAAGCATATGAACTTCCTGTTGGAAGGATTATATTTCTGTAAACACATTCTTGACAAAGTCATCTCTAAAGAAGCAAGTAAAAGGCATTTAATGCTTACCTTAGATTGATTGTTTAAATTATTTTTGTATTCTAGTCATAGCTTTAGAATGAAACCTCTTCACAATATTCTTCAGTAAGAATGATGTCTCTGGTAATTGAAATTAATGATCTTGAAGTTCTTAGGTTATTTTTCTAATACAAATTTTAGGTAAGAGAACACCTTGGAGGGGAATCCTGTTATTTGGGCCACCTGGAACAGGAAAGTCCTATTTAGCCAAAGCTGTAGCAACAGAAGCAAACAATTCAACATTTTTTTCAATATCTTCCTCTGACCTTGTCTCTAAGTGGCTAGGTGAAAGTGAAAAGTAAGTAATAAATTTTATTTTTTTAATTTTACTTTGTCTGATAGTTACTATACCAATCTTTAACAGTCACACAGAGAAATGATAATAGGTATTCATTTCTCTGTCAGATCTGACCCTGGTCTAGAATTTGTTTCATAGGGAAAAAAGAGCATAAATGTACAGTAAGTTGTAAAGTGAATTATCCGGTTGTAGCTGTCTTCATTTTTAGACCAAAACATGGTTAAGCTTTTTAATTCATGGAGTTCTTATAATACTGGTATGTACTTTGTTTTTGTCTTCTCGCTAAGTCACTCGTGTTATTTATTTATTTATGAGAAGCTGAAAGCTTTTATTTATTTTTTAGGCTAGTTAAGAATTTATTCCAACTTGCCAGAGAAAACAAACCTTCCATTATCTTTATTGATGAAATTGATTCTCTGTGTGGTTCAAGAAGTGAAAATGAAAGTGAAGCTGCACGTAGAATTAAGACAGAGTTTCTCGTTCAAATGCAAGGTAGTATGACTGGTTTTTAAAATAATTCCTATTTGTCCTGTATATTCTTACAGCAGTAATGGGGAAGCTTAAGAAGAATTTCTTTAGCCTCGGTGTTTTGTTCTGCCTTATTTCATTCTGATGGTCTTCCATGTGTGCATAATTTTAATCTAGTTGTACTCATTTTGTAGGACTTACTGATTTAAATAGTGAAGAGATTTCATAACTTATCCCATACCAGGAACAATAATAGTAAGAATAGATAGCCTTTAAATGCAGTCTTTGAAGAAATATTATGAAAATTATTAATAATTTTTGTCCACAATCAAGGAGATTTGATCCTTGGGGATATTTGTATCATATTTTAGTAATATATTTTATTAAATAGTTTTTTCCTCCAGAGAGAGACTCTCAAGATGAGGCACTTAAACATTAAAGCACCACATTTTCAATATACAGATGAGGTTTAAAGAACTTTAACATGACAAATTATTTTAAATGTCACCTATTTGATGCAGGGGTTGGTGTGGACAATGATGGAATTTTGGTTCTGGGAGCTACAAATATACCCTGGGTTCTGGATTCTGCCATTAGGCGAAGGTATGATGATAAAATAAATTTCTTATTTCTAATTACAAATGTTGAAGAAAATAGTAATTCCCTTTTTGTCTAGTGGGGAGACGTTCTAATAGCTTTTCAGAGTTTTAGAAATATGCCTTAACCCTGTTGCCCCCCTGACTTGGGTGGAGAGAGCCAGGCACTTGTCTGCTGAAGATGTGAGACTTCCACTTACTGGAATCTTTCACATTGCATTACCTAATGCCCACCTTTAGTTATGATTAAACTTAGTAGTAGACACCAATGCTTCAGATGTTTTACAAGAATGGTTTAATATCTCGGGCCTCCCTGGTGCGCAAGGGATTAAGCACCACACTATAAAGCAATCTGAAGCCTCTGCAGCACGAGTTCGATCCCCAGCCCCTCCAGGGAGCTACCCTCACGGCACAGCAGACCTCTCCTGTCTCGCCTGCTGCTCCCCTCAGCAATGTATTTTGGTTAATCTGCCTTTCTGTTACCCGCTCTGTCTCTGGTGAATCCTCTAACCTCCAAGACCTCTGGCCTGTATCCCAGCTCTTATATGCATAAATAAATAAATCCTTTAAAAAAAGAGAGAGAATAGTTTAAGATCTCAATGGAAAACTTCATGTAAAATTGTAGCAAAATGACATTTACAGTTTAAAATATACTAGGTTATATTTTCAGTTAAAGAATTTATATCTCTAATTTTTAAATTTAATATGAAACATGAGCTACGGGAGAAAACATCACTTTCCTCTGCTTCAGAATTCCCTATTCCATTCCTTTCCTCTTACATGATAAAAAGGAGCTCTTCCGTTTTTGCCACTTTTATCCCATTCATTTGGTTTGCCAGCAGGGTAGATTACCGTCCAGTACCAAGAAAGGAAATGTGCTGGTTATTTTTTTTATATGACCTAATTCTGAACCCCTAGAGATAATGAAAGCTTCAAATACTCATTGCACAGAATTACCTTGAGGAAAAAATATATTCACAGACCACTTAAATTGTCTCTGATTATTCCTCCCTATATGCAAGTACTGAAATTCTAAGAAGGCAAGCAAAATTCTTCCTGAAACGTAGTGTTTGTTTATGATATAAAAGAATTATTTGTTCTAATATACCCAGCAGAATGCAGTGGACATTTTGTGTAATAAATATGTTAATTCCATAAGATTCTAAGTAATTTTAATGTTTTGAATTTAGAGAATTATTTTTGCCATCATATCTCTAATTGTTATTTACATTAATCTCTCTTTTTTTAAAAAAATATTTTTAAAAAATATTTATTTATTTATACAAGAACTGGGGTACAGTCAGAGGTGCTGGAGGGTGAGAGAATTCACCAGAGACAGAGTGGGGAGCAGAACAGGCAGACACTGCTGAGGGGAGCAGCGGGCGAGGCAGGAGAGGTCTGCGGCGCCATGTGGGTCTCTCCCTGGCCAGCCAGGAATCGAGCCTATGCTGCAGAGGCTGCGGACAGCATCACAGTGTGGCGCTCAACCCACTGCACCACCAGGGAGGCCCCATTAATCTGTTTATCAACAGTTGAGAGTATAATTCTATGGGCAGTTACTCATGTAGGAATTCATGTCATGAATTTCAGACACAAAATACCATGGCCAAAATAACCCAAAAGTCAATGAGATAGACTAAACCAATCCAAACTGGTTCCCTGGCTATTTTTATTTTGTTTGTTTTTAATGTTCTGGAAATTTTCCTTTATTTGGCCTAAGCATATATGTTATACTCTGATAAATACAAACTTGTTTAACTTACTCAACTTTGTATAAATGAGAATATCTCAATATCTTGTTTTCTTCTTGAAAATATCCTAATTTTCAATTGAAATTAAGTATCTATGAAATAAATACAATAAATATGTGATGCAATATAATAAATATGGGATGCATTTTTTCTTTTGAAGATTTGAGAAACGAATTTATATTCCTTTGCCCGAGGCCCATGCCCGATCAGCAATGTTTCAGCTGCACTTGGGGACCACTCAGAACAGTCTAACAGAAACAGACTTCCGAGAGCTCGGGAAGAAGACAGACGGCTATTCCGGCGCAGACATCAGCATCATAGTGCGCGACGCACTCATGCAGCCGGTCAGGAAAGTGCAGTCGGCCACTCATTTCAAAAAGGTGAAGACTTTCGCCCATCCTTTCATGTGTTTTTAATTCATATTCCCGACCATCATTAATATGTCATCAAAGACTATTCAGTTTTCAGTTTTATATGATGGATACGTGGATTTACATCGTAGACCTGATGTCCTTTTCATGAAAAAAAGTTTTCCCAGAAAGTTTAGTAATAGCCATTATTAATTATCCCAAAGTGTTGTAAAGTTTTCTATGCACAGACTTTTGAAGTATTTATTATTTGGATATGAATATTGAAACTTAAGTATACAGTTGCCTTAAATGCAACCAGATTTTCCTTGTGCAGAATCTGGTATGTTTACACCTCACTAACAAAGTAAAAATAGTAATAATAGCTACTGTTGTGTAAAGGTTCATGTGCTTAGCACTGTATTCTGTCCTTTATCTTACTATTTCATTTGGTCTTCACAAAAACGCAATAAGAGGTCGGTATAGCCACCTCTTGATGAATCATCTGAGATTTAGATGGTAACATGGTGAAAATGGACACAGTTGCCAGGGTGCAGCTGGAGGGGCTCAACAGAGGAGATTTTCTCAGATACATTTCAGAAGTCTCTACCACCCTGCTTTCCTGTCCTTCCCAAGAACTGTGTTGTCTATGTAAATTGAACTGTTCTCGCTGAGATAAAAAGACCGCAGTTTTGGGATCCCCACTTTAAGTAACAGTGAAGGGTGTAATTTGCACCAAGCCTTTTGCTGAGTCCAGCATGTCCAATATCACTCATGAGCGTGAATGTGAAAATCCTGAAAAACTATGCGCAAACCCAATCCAATATATGACAAGATTAACATGTTATGACTAAGTTACATACGTATGTCTATTTCATTCCAAAATAAAGTAACTCCCACAGTGATCTCCTTGATCAAATTGCTACCTATTTATGGCTCACTTTTATTATTTCTAAAGTGAAGATGGTAACACTGCTTTAAAGTGCTGCTGTGAGAAGAAAGTGAAGTCAAGCAGGTCTTCGGATGACATTGTTTAGTTCAACATTATTGTAACCTTGATGAGGAAGAAAAATCCCAGCCAGCAGTGAACGACATGTCATTCGAAGACCCCGACATCTATTTCTGTTATATGTTGCTTTGCTTAAAACCAGTTTCCTAGAACCTATTTAGGATGTTGAGTGAGAACTCACTAGAATATTCAGAAAACACCTATTGTGGTAGCTGACTAGCCCAGTACATATTCCTCCCCTTCTTTAGCTTATTTTATTGCTAAGAAAAACAGTAGACTCAGAGTCAATTTTATTTTAAATGTTTCTTTGACATTTAGTTGCTATAGATTATTAGAAACTCAGTCCGTTCCTAGCCAGAACTTTCTGTTTATTTCTCTGTATTTCTACTGGGACACCTTATATGACCCAGAACCTGGGTCCTTGTTAGGAGGATCAAGGCAAAGAAGCCGGATCAGTCTTAGTGTCAGCCCTTTTCTATCACCAGCTATAGTAGACCTTTCCATGGCTCCATCCTTTGTTCCATTTCAATTCTCAGCATCGTTTACCTGTTTATTTACCAAATGTCTCAAGTATCTACTCCCAGAAAATACAGCATCTGGTACCACCCTGGTCACCTAGAGGTTAAGTCTCAAGTGCTATCACCGCCTTGGCCTGAGTTTGATCCCTGGCCAGGGAGCTAACCCACATGTGGCACAGCAGACCTCTCCAGTCTCGCCTGATGCTCCCCTCAGCAGTGGATTTCAGTAGATCCACCTGTTCTGCTCCCCACTCACTCTGTCACCTCCTGCACCTCTGGCCTACACCCCAGTTCTTCTACTCATCAATAAATTGAATGAATGAATGAATGAATAAATAGAATCTTTATTCAAAACAAAACTACAGTACCCAGAAAAGCCCAAAAATCCTCATACTGGAAATATTTGTGAGGAAAGACAATAAATTGTACCAATAAGTTAAGTGAGGAGGTTCATTTCTCACATCTCCCTCAATCCTGAGATAAGATTTAAGATTGATCATTGTGAAACGAATTTGGAAGCACTATCCATTGAATGCAGAATTGTCATCATTTATTGAAGTCTGCTTTCATGCCACGCTGCCACAATGGTTCTTTTTCTGATTCTTTCTAAAACTTATTTTGAGGGGCCTCCCCGGTGGCGCAGCGGTTGAGCGCTGGGTTGCGAAGCTGCCTGCGGCCTCTGTGGCCCCGATTCGATGCCCGGCTGCTCCCCGGCCACAGGAGGAGGGTCCCACATGGCGCGCAGACCTCTCCTGCCGCCCGCTGCTCCCCTCAGCAGTGTACTTCAGTCCTTCTGCCTGCTCTGCTCCCCGCTCTGGCTCTGGTGAATTCTCTCACCCTCCCGCGCAAAAAAAAAAAAAAAGTTAAAACTTATTTTGAATCAATTATGAATCATAAAATATCATTGAAATTATGATCAACATTTAGTTTCATACTTACGTTTTAAGGAGTTTTTGTTGAGAGAGAAAAAATTAATTTCACAATGTATCTCAGAAGTTTCTCAGCTATGGAATAGAGAAACTTAAGAGAATTTAGCTTTAAAAGCTTTATGTATGTCTATTCTGGTAAGATTAGTTCCATTTAATAAGCACTAGAGAAAAGAATGATCTTAGCCGAAGTTCACTGTTTCATTTTTTCAATTCATTTTCTCCCCTGTAATCTTGTAGAAAATTTCAAAACACAGAAAAGCATCAAGAAAAAATTAAACTCAAACAAAAATCTGTCCCCTGACCCAGGGCTCACTTCTTGTTGTTTAACCTTCTGTTTTTCAGAAGTAAACAATTTAACAAAATGTAAAATAGATTTTCAAATTTCTTGATCGTGGCCTAAATCTTAATGCTTATTTATTTTGTTCAAATAAATATTCCAGATTACTGTATGTTCCAGGTTCGGGGGCCATCACAAGCTGATCCGAACAAGATCATAGATGATCTGTTGACGCCCTGCTCTCCTGGCGACCCTGGTGCCATTGAAATGACATGGATGGATGTCCCTGGGGATAAACTTTTGGAGCCAGTTGTTAGCATGGTTGGACTTTTTTTTAATTTTACGAAATATGTTTAAACATTATGCTTTGTAGTTTGCCAAAGATAAAATTTTTCACTTATATAAGATTAGCTAGAAAATGGTAGTGTCATCAACATGTTTAATCCTACTCAAGAAATTGTAAAGAGTAATTGAACATAAAATTTTTTAAGTGAAAAAGGCAAATTTGAAAAAGCACATATAACTTGCAGCTGGAATAACACCCCCAAAATGCTTGCAGAGATTGCAGAAGGTGTTGTCAAGCCTTAACTAAATTTGACCTGGTAAAAATTTTTTTCCCTGAATCTCAGACTTTATATAATATCCAGAAAACCTAATATGCATCATATTATCATAGTATTCATAATGATGTTTTTCTCTTTTACTTCATAGAAAGTTTAAATAATGCAGTGCTTTCAGAAAAGTTCTGAAACAAAAGTATCATAATAGAGAAACATCTGTGTTAATTAACCATAATGATTATTTGACAAATAATTTAGAAGCCTTTTGTGTTTGTTCCTTATAATTTTTAAGTTTTGGTCCTTTTGACCATTGTCCATACTATTTAATAGAAGACATAGCTTAGAGGCTAACTTTGGAATGAATGCTTTATATGAACATTTTCTTAAAATTTTGACTTAATGTTAGCTAATAGATAAAAATTTTGATGTGTTGATTTTTATTAAAAGGTCTTCTGTTTCACATAAGTATTGGCGATTAGGTTCATTCCTTTTAAGTCGCACTTGTTTAAGAAAAACAAAGCCAAAAAGGAGATTAGGTGCATATATTTTGGAGAACCTGACCCCGTAGGCTTAGAGGATCATACTTCTAATGAGTAGTGGTGAATCACGGAAGATTGTGATCAGGACGAAGCAAGCAATTGAAAGTTTCTGTGCGGAGGAATGTTATTATCAAAGCTGTCCTTTCAACTTCTGGCTCTTACAGATATGCAGATTTAACCTTTGGTGAAAGTTAGTGGTAGTAATAACAAATGCAGTGGATTTTATTTGGTTCTATCTATTGCTAATACCCCTCCCCCGCTTCTTTTCCCTGACAGTCGGATATGTTACGGTCCTTGTCTAGCACAAAACCCACAGTGAATGAACACGACTTGTTGAAATTAAAGAAGTTTACAGAAGATTTTGGCCAAGAAGGCTAAACCAAAGACAACAAGGAAGACATTTACGTGTGTGTTCTTTCTTTCATAGGTATTTTTGGCCTTTCTTGGATGACGTTCAGATTATTTTCAGTAAGACTCTTTTTCCACAGGGAAATGCAGATCTCACTTCTGTATGTCTTTAAGTTTTATATGTACTTTTGCTCCATTGCCTATTGAAATGTTCTTGTTAACATAAATGATGAAATAATGGGTTATAACGAAATGATTTCTGAACAGCAAAAAGTAGAAATTACCCAGAAATAAGAGGATTAAAATTGATTCAGATGTAAGTTTTAAATTGTTATCAGTGGTCTTTGCAAAGAGTATTTCTCTTGTGTTTTTCACTAAAGTGAAACAGGGCTAATTTCATATTTGAAAAGTACTCAAGCGTCCCCCTCATCAATGTAGAATTTATTTACTTAAAATTTATAGTGATAGCATATTTACTCTCAGGGATGGGCAATAAAACGCAAAGAACAATGTGATTGGCTTGAGAAATATTGACTTGTGGTGTAGCCAAGGCTCTTAATGAGTTCTGATAGGTTGGCATTTTTCTGTGTTAGATTTAAATCATTTATTTGAAAGCAGCAAGCTTTTATATTTAAATAGCACCTTTCACTGTGCAATCTCAAGAGAAAGACTTTCTAAATTAGGCGTTGTCTTTATCTTGAAGAAGAAAATTGTCTATTTCAATGTCTTTTTGTAGCAAGAGTGACCAAAAGAGGTGGTAAGTAAATGTGTACTTTTTAGATAACTCTGTCATGAAATACTATAATGAGAACCTTTGCTTAACGGAATGGCCTCCCTTTGGATTGTGGGAAGTTGCTCGTGTGTGATTGGGGGTGTGTGTGTAAATATATATGTATAATTTTTTTTTTAATATAGAATACCAAGGGTCTTATCTTTTATCTTTTAAGTACAGGGAACAGTTTGTCTTGGCCACACTCATGTTATCAGTGTAATGCCTCATCATGCTTTAGAATTGAGCTGATGTCTCTTTAAATAATAAAATGCAAACTTGGTATTATGTTATTTTAATATCTCCAAATAAAAAAAATCTGAGGGTGTGTGTTACACACTTTTAGCATCAACACTAAGTTGTGCCTTGTACGTTAGCATTGGCTATACATGCAAAAGATAGAATAAGGTAGACTCCTTTATTACGACAAAGTTCTACCTTGCAAAATGCTATAAAAATAACTGCATTTTAAAGTGTATTTGCACATTTTACATATTATACTACATGGTTGCCTTTGGACTTTGTACAGTTTGTTTTGTTATTAAATGGAAATCATAGGCCTGAAAAATACTGTTCTGTGAAGTAAATTGATACAACCTACTATTGGCTAAATTCTCTGTATGTTTGGGGATGTTCTATATAAGAGGAAATAGCTAAATTGGTGAGATACACAGAAATCATTATATGAGTATGTACATGAAAATTCTATTTTTGAACAATTTTTATGTGAGGGTTGGGAATTAACAAGACTACTCTGAATTCTTCATGGATGACTTTTTATAGAGTTTTTTCAGACTCAGAATTATACAGTATTGCTTTTAAGTACATCATTGAACCATTGAAGAATTACCATAAATATAATTAGAGTTGAAACCCAGAATATTTTGTAAATCCAGAAGTTGTTGGAGGAAGTAGTCTATTTAAATTGATTGAATATCTGACCAAATAGTATGTAATACAGTGTTGATGATAAGTGGGTACTCTATATTTTTATGTTTTATTTAGTTTTAAAAGTAGATCTATTATCTTCTATACTTATTTTTTTATGAAATAATTTATTTCACATGTACTTAAGCCATTAGGAATTAAGATTTTTGGTTTTTTAAGTAGACACATACCTTTCATGATAGGATCATTTGTATCTGTTCTTGGAAGACTTTAATAAGTTTCTTCTGCAATTGGATGGTGACAAAGTTTAGGTGTCTTGGAATCATTTTTCAGCAGCTGACTATCCAACAAGGATCTGCTGGACTTGGCTTACAGAGGAGCTCCTTGAGTCCTTTAAGCACAGTCGGTGTTGTATATAAATCTAAACAGTCCTCAGTAGCTTGTCCAACTGGAGTGGGCTCAACAGTCACTTCAGAATACTCAATCGAATTTCTCTTTGTGCTGCAGCACAGTCGGTACTACGTGAAGTGCACGCCTTAGTGTCTGTGCCGTAGTCCACCCTTAGGCGTCTGCTGTGTCTCCTTAGCTACCAAGCTGGTATTTCGTCCCAAAAGTTCTTTGTATCTAGCTAGTATCAGGGCAACAAGTGCCCCAGAACTCATGGCAGAGTTTAAATTGGGGTAAAGTTGTTTCCCATGTTGTCTTACATAAATGTTACTACAGTGCTCAGGGCTAAGCTATGGTTTTCTCTGTGGCGAATCCAGATCTGAGAGTAGTATCTTGCATCGTCTCCTCTTTATCAGCAATATCTGATTTGATGATGGCCAGAGTTTTTCCTACATATATCTGAGGTGGGGCACTGACAGATCCACTCTGGCTTTTCAGGGTACAGTTTAAGTTTCTTGGATTGACACTTCTCAGCACCTGCCCCTCCGCAGCCTCTATGCCAATATTTTTTTTATTGTATTTGTTAAAGTAGGAGAAACGTGCATACTCATTAAAGCAATGAAAATCTGTTTACTGATAGCAATATTTTTTTGTTCTTAAAGTTCACAATTTAAATTTTTCAGGGACAAAACAATTCAATTTGGCAAGAATGTTTACTTCTTCTGAGCTCACTGGGTTGTACATGTAGCTCTTCGAGGATGTGAAGTACCAGTTAGACCCTTGGGGCCATTTGTGTAGTTAGGACATTGCCATGAATGCCGCTTGACGTCACTGCAAGTGAAGCACCGAAGGGAGCCCGCATGGCCACAGGAGCAAGCCCCGCTTCGCGAGCTCTCACACTCCTTCCTACCTCCATGCCTTCGTGTCCATGCGCTTCTACTCTAACGTGTCCCTTCTTCTTTGCTCTGCTAGTCCAAATTCCATTATTTCCATTAAGACCTGGGTCATGAACTGTGTAATCATTTCCAGGAAGATTTCTGAAACTATCCCCACCCTACTTTTTAGATTTCTTTAGCACTAAATGGATACCACTGTCTTAAGATTTTCCTCCAAGTTTCAAGCACTTTCTATTAATTTTGTTTACATCAATTAAGTTGTAAGCTCTTCAAGGAGTTACATTTTCCCTGGCAATTAACCTAGTGCTAGACAAGATGAGGTACTTAATAAAGGTGTAAAAATTAACTAAGGGAGTTAGATTCTCATTTATCTTAACTTCATGGATTATCTTTGAGGCTATAAAATACATCGTTTGAACTGGCTTTGTTCTTGCGGGCTATTGAACTTGTGATAGATTTCAGTCTTGAGGGACTAAAATCAGAAGTGTACTAGAGCCAACTCTTACTGGCTCACAAGAAGCCACATACACATCACTTCCCACCTGTGTGATCAGCGACCTCATATAGGTGGCTAGAAATCTGCTCTGGCTGGAGTATTTACAGCACATAATCAGCAAGAGTAGTTAACTTAGTGCCATGACATACGAGAACTGTGTCTTTTAAAATTTAAAAATTAATAGTACTTGCTACATTTCAGAAAGAAGAAAAGTTATATTATCTTTCTGTAAGGATTTCATGAAAAGCATTTGATAAAATCCAGTACCCATTTATGATTTAATGGGAAAAAACTAGAAATAGAAGGAACCTTCTTAATTTAATAGAATATAAAAAAAAAAAACCAAAACCCCACTTTTGTAAACAACATAACTATGGATTTTTTTGGAAACTATTCCCCTGCAGTCAGGAAAAAGAAAGGTGTCTGTTATCACCACTCCTTTTCAATTTTCTACAGGAAGGTCCAGACAGTGGAAAAGGTTTAGGGATTAAAAGGGAAAAAAACAGGGCCTCCCTGGTACAGGGGGTTAAGCACTGCACTATGAAGCAATCCGCAGCCTATGCAGCACAAGTTTGATCCCCGGGCCGGCCAGGGAGCAACCCACATGGCGCAGCAGACCTCTCCTGGCTCGCCCGCTGCTCCCCTCAGCAGTGTATTTCAGTCAGTCTGTCCGTTCTGTTCCCCGCTCTGTCTTGGTGAATCCTCTTACCCCTGCACCTCTGGCCTATAACCCCATAGTTCTTGTATGCATAAATAAATAAATCTTTTTAAAAAAGTGGGGGGAGGAAACAAATTGGTGTGCACATACACATTCCCTGGTGTTGTATGTAAAAATCCAGATTAATAGAAAATTACCAGCTAAATTTAACAAAGCTGCAGGATACAATTTTAATAAATAAAAAGTATATTACTGTATTAGAAACAATTAGAAATTGTTATGGAAACAATACCAATCACAGTAGTTTCAGAAAGCATCAGATATGCCAAAATAAGTCAGAGGCAGGACCGCCATATGGAAGACTGAAATGTTTCTAAAAGAAAGCACAGACCTAAATACCTAGATGTGGGTCCTGCCCATCAGCTGGAGGACCTAACTCTAGAATGTCAACTATAACAAGTTGATTTCTAGATTTAGTGCAATCCCATATCCATAGCTGTGTGGTTGATACAAATACATTTAGCAAATAATTATTGACAACGGAAAAACAATCTTTCATACTTTGAATCCATTTTCATAACTGTATTTCTCCTACCTGCATTTCTCTGTCAGCCATCAATAATCTCCAGAAATATCTACGTAGACATAAAAAGATAAAGCTATCAAATGGTTGTCACCTTATGTTCATTATGTAATTTGTGGGTAGTGAGACTTGATTGTTTTTTTTTAACTCTTCACTCCTTTCATCTCCAGGTTTATTTTCAGATGTCACCTTTCAGTGAGACCTTCCCTATTTAAAATAATTATCCCTTCTGATGCTCCTGTAGCCGTTCCCTACTATATTTTCTTCTGCAGCATTATTGTAATCTGTCTCTATAATTCACTAGTTTTCTTGCTGATAATTTTTTCCACTAACATGTTGTGTATTCTGTGACAGTTGAGATTTTCTTAATTTGTATGTCATTGTATCTCCAGTATCTAGAACAGTGCCTGGTGCCTGATGGGTGCTTAATAAATATTTGTTGAGTGATTGATTCTTTGTATTCTTTCTAAGTTTGAGTACTTCACGATGAACGTGTAATTTTGCCCTTCCCCCCAATTTATAACCATTTTTTTTTTTAAGATTTATTTATTTATAAAAGCACTGGGTACAGTCAGAAGCGGGGAAAGGTGAGAGAATTCACCAGAGCCAGAGTGGGGGACAGAACAGGCAGACTGATGAAATACACTGCTGAGGGGAGCAGCAGGTGGCAGGAGAGGTCTGCGCGCCATGTGGGACCCTCACCGGTGGCCGGGGATCAAACCGGCACTGTAGAAGCTGCGGGCAGCTTTGCAGCCCAGTGCTCAACTGCTGCGCCACCAGGGGAGGCCCTATAACCATTTTAAAGGAAGAAGAAACTAAGGATTGCAAATAAATACACCAAGAAAATAACAGTGGCTGTATCTGGGTGATAGAAATATTAATACTTGTTCCTTATTTCTTTTTCAATCTTTAAATATTTTTAATTTCTGGGCCTCCCTAGTGGTGCAAGGGGTTAAGCACCACACTATGAAGCAGTCCACAGCCTCTGCTGCACGAGTTTGATCCCCAGGCCAGCCAGGGAGCTACCCACATGGCGCAGGAGACCTCTCCTGTCTCGCCCGTTGCTCCCATCAGCAGTGTATTTCAGTCAGTCGGCCTGTTCTGTTCCCCACTCTGGTAATCCTCTCGTCCCCCACATCTCTGACCTGTACCCCAGCTCTTGTATGCATAAATAAATCTTTAAAAAAAAAGTGATGCTTTTAAAAAATATATATTTTTAATTTCTGCAAAGTAAATTGAAAAAAATTTTGAAGAGCTAGGTAAAAACTGATAGATGATCTTTGGCGTTTGGCTCTTCCTCTGAAACACGATAAAATAACAGCAAAGGTATTACGGGGGGGAAGCAATGCATCAAATAATTAAGCAGATCTGATGGGGGGGGCAGGCGGTGTAGTTCATTTAATGCCCTTCCTGGGTGGGGGTGTGCCTCTGGCCTCCCGCTGAGGGACCAAAGTGAGGAGCACCCAGTTTTCTTCATCCCTCAGCCGCCATCATATCCTCAGGCCATTGACCTTGTTTGGTTAATGGGGTGCTGCCACCCCGTCCTTCAGTCTTGAGGGCCACAGTGATGTCCAGACATTGAAATAAGATCATGGCAGCATCCACTGCTGCTAACCGGATGAGAATCTGGCAGGTCCCAGTGAGACAGCCAAATACATTGTTGTCCTAAATACATGGAATGAAGTTGCCAGTGAGGAAAAGGCTTGGGAAATAACTTCGCGGCTGCTGTGTGTGGGAATGAGAATTTCACGGACTGCAAGTGGGGTCCAGGCAGGGATGGAAACCCAGGCCCCTTGTGCAACTGCTGAATAAACATTTCTTGCGTCCACAGCACTCAAGTAACCAAGTCCAGGATCCCACGTTGTGTTTAGTTCTCATGTCTCCTTAGCCTCCTCCAGTCAGTGTTCTCTCTCTTTTTCTTACCCTTGTTTTTTTAAGAGCTGTGACACTTTGCAGAGTATTGACCAGATACCTTGTTGAATGTCTCTCAGTTTCGATTTGTCTGATGCCTTCTCTTGATTAGACTAAGGTGATGAAATTTTTGGAAAAATAGGTGATACAGCTGCTCATCCTATCAAATCTGGGGGTGCCTGATATCAATAGTCTTAGTCATGTTAATTAACTGGCCATTCGATTAAGATAGTGTCTGGCAGGGTTAGCCACACAGTAAAATTATTTTTTCTCTCCACAGTCTGCACTCAAGAGGGAGGGAATTAAGCTACATCTTCTGCAGGGAAGAGTTTTGTGGATATATGTTAACATTACACAGTCTTTAATAATATTTGGGGGCCTCCCTGGTGGCAGCAGGCGGTTGGGCACATCGCTGTGAAGCTGTCCTCAGCCTCTGCAGTGCCAATTTGATCCCCGGCCAGCCAGGGAGCTGACCTACATGGTTGTAGCAGACCTCTCCTGACTCACCCGCTGCTCCCTCAGCAGTGTATTTCAGCAGATCTGCCTGTTTTGAGTCCTCTCAGCCCCCGCACCTCTGATCTGTACCCCAGTTCTTGTATGCATAAATAAATAAAAGCAAATCTTAAAAAAAAAAAGAGATAAGGGCTGTTGTCTAGTGACCCACACAACTGAGCATATAAAGAAACAATTCCAATTCATAGGACCAGTGAAGCAAACTACTTTTATTGTAAAATGATGGTGCACATGATAGTGTAGGGGAGCAAAAATCTGCCCCCCCCCATTAAGTCCTTTTGGCAAAATGTTGGTTTCATGAGAAGGAGTCTGAAGGCTGGGTGAAGGTTTGAAAAAGATACTTGCATGTAAATTTGTCCAAGGACCTCCCCTGGGATACCTAAGTTCATTCTCTTTTCAATGGAGAAGGCAGAACTTAAATCTGCATACTCTTGTCTACTGTGCCTTGTGCCTTCCCAGTAACCTCCCTTTCTACCCCCGAAGTAGTTAAAAATTCTCTTTATCCTCTTAAACATTCTTGTTCTTACTGACTCAAAATGTTGGCAGTTAGGCCCCACTCTAGGCATTTGACCCAGTAAAGCAGTTTTTTTCTGCACTGGCTTACACTGACCCTATTTTAAAATGACTTTAGTGATGTCAACTTTTTATATATGCAATTTATTTCATGATGATATGAAGGAAAAATTCTTTATTTTCTATTTCCCTGCTGACAAACACAACTCTGAGCTTTATGAAACTATGAACGATTTCTTTGTCAACACATTTGGCTTGTTGCTTGAGTTTTATGCAGGAATGTGTTCTAATAGGGCAGCTACAATGTCTGGAAAAAATTCTGGAATAGTTACTTTGGTTAAGGAGCTTGTGCCAAAATGTAAATTGATGCATCGCTTCCTTCTGACTATGAAAAATACCAACTGAACTAAAGTATGTGCTTAGTGGAGCAGTAAAATATGTGGGTCCCAATATGTTTATAAATTGAATTTTGAAATGAGTTAGTTGGATGGCGTCTTTGTCAGATAGAGCAGCAGTCGTAACAAAATGCCATAGATTGAGTGATGTAAGCAATAGAAATTTATTTCAATAGTTCTGGAGGCTGGAAAGTCCAAGATCAAGGTGCACCAGACTCGGTTTCTGGTGAGAGTTCTCTTTCCCGGGTTTCAGATGACTGCGTTTTTGCTGCATTCTCACATTGTGAAGGGAGTCGGAGATTTGGTGAGTGGGGTGTTAGCCGGAGGGGCAGAGGCAGAGCTAGCAAATTCTGGTGTCTCCTCTTCTAAGGATGCACATCCTATCAGACAAGAGTCCCACGATTAAAACCTCTTCAACCTTAATTACGTCCTTACTCCAAGTACAGTCACATTGGAGGTTAGGGCTTCAACGTATGAATATGGGGGCGGGCACACTTCTCCATAATGGATGGCATGGAACATTGAAACTCCCCACAAGGAAGTTTTCTTGGCACGCTCTCACAGGCTGAGAAAATATGGTTGTTGAGAAGAAAAACGTCAACATTGTAAACCAGTTTGGACCAAATTTTTCAAAAGCTGTGAATTGCACAGCTGAAGTTGACCATTGTTCTGATTTCTTTGGAATTTTAATTATCTGAATTACCTTCCATGCAAGAAGTAAGTATACCATGTGTTTTTCTGGGTCTGATGAGCAGTGAAGGGGCAAAGCCAAAGTGAAAGGCTTGGGAGGACCGAGTGTCCACAAACTGTAATACATTTTACAGTTGAACCAGTCACCAGCGAAGTGAGTGATGAACGGGACTCTGCGATTCTGTGAAAACTTAGCATCGAACCCATTAAGAACTTGATGGAATGTTTTGAAAGTTATTTTTCATCCAAAGGCCCTCTCATATGAAATTCATGGATTTGGAATCCATTTATTTCATCGAAAGGTAATTTATATTTAAACATAACTTCAGACTAAATCATTGGAAATCATAACATATGAATGATTAAGATGAATTTTGAAATAAAGCATTTGGATAAAGTTAATAAGTGTTATGAAATTGCTTTAAAATTTCTTCTTTTCCTGGCACCAAATCCCTGGGATTTTTAGTGGGAATATGTTCGAACAAAGCATTTACATTGCTTTGAGAGTTCCATTATTGATAACCCAACATGAGATAAATTAACAAGAAACAAACTCAATTCTAAATTACAACTCTACGTATACATGTTCATTCAAAGTGTAATTATAGGCATGTAATATAATGAATTGTTGGTTAACTTTTTTTTTTGGTTACAAAAGCAAAATAAGAGAAACATGACATTACCATTGTAACAGTGTTTCAGTTGTCTGTTGCTTAATAACAAGTTTAACTCCAAAACTCAGTGGCTTAAGATAACAACCATTTAGGGCCTCCCTGGTGGTGCAAGGGCTTAAGTCACAACCTATGAAGCTATCCACAGTCACTGCAGCATGAGTTCAATCCCCGACCAGGGAGGTGGCCCACATGGCACAGCAGACCTCTCCAGACTCACCCGCTGCTCCCCTCAGCAGTGTATTTCAGTCAGTCTGCCTGTTCCCTCGTGTTCTGCTGTGTCTCTAGTAAATCCTCTCACCTCCCCCTCTACACACACCTCTGGTCTGTACCCCGTTCTTGTATGCATAAATAAATAAATCTTCTTTTAAAAAAAGACAACAATCATTTATTTGGGTCATGAATCTACAGTTTGATCAGGGATCAAGGGTGGCTCATCATGCAATAAGGATTGGAAGATGCACTTTCAAAATGGCTCAGTCACCTGGCAAATAAGTTGGTGTGAGTTATGGACTGGGAGCTCAACGGGGATTATGTGCTGATTGCCTCAGTGTTTCTTCAAATGAACTTCACCACAGACTGATTGATCTTACTCAAAAGACACTGCATTAATTTCAGCGTCTTGAGTTTCCCAAGAAAACCAGGAAGAAGCTACATGGCCTTTGCCGTCCTGTCGTTAAGTCCTGAAATGTGACTTTTGCCACAGGCCATAAGTCAGGCAGTCACAAAGGCCATCCGTGTTCAAGGGCAGGAGATATAGACCAATCACTCAACAGAGTGCCAAGGTCACAATAAAAGAGCACATCGCTTTCTTTACATTCCA